CTACATTTTAGACTTACCATGACTGCTATTCATCCCTAAAGCTATACTGAGCAAATGAATGTGAATTTGGAATATTAAAGTCAAGAGATGAATGCTGAAGATTGTACCCATTTTTGATTCCCTTGCTGAATGAGTCGTAAAATAGGGTGGCAGTAGCATCAAGTTGTTTAGAAAAAATTTGCGTGCTTTCTTGCTGGCACCTCACCTTTTAACAAAGGCTTGCACAAGCTGGTCAGCGTATTAACTTTATGCTCAACATATAAGAATAAACTCTTCCTTAATCATGATTTATGCTTTAGAATATTGTAAACTTTCAATGTAAGTGCGGATTTATCAAATGTAGTTATACAAAATAAAGTGCAAAATGTTAATCTAAATCCGAAGCAAATTAAATCAAACGTTAAGGTTTTGTCTTTTTTCGAAGCCCAAAACTGAATCTGTCATAGCATAAGCCCTATGACATAATTTAACCCGATCTCCGGCAATTGATTTATGCGTACAGTGTGCGTTAAAGCTGTCAGACCCCATTTTTAAGCATAAATACAAACGGAAACAACTTGTAGGAGAGGCTTTTTGGACATGTAAATGAGCCGAAAGAGAGCAATTTACTTTACGTTGACCAAATTTGTGATAGAAATCGATTTTTTTTAAAGTAGTACGATGTTCTTGTAAAGTTAACACAAGGTGTGACCTCTGTGTCTTTTACAATGGCATGACAAATAAGAGGAATACGATCATAAATTTAAACACATTTTTGACCTCAGACGAAAACATGTGTTCTGAGTAACAAGTAGCTGCTTGAATAAATGACATTTACGTCATTATAAAATTCAGAGGACTGTAGATATTTTAAAAGTCGAAGCAGCACTGCTATTCTTTGAAGCATATCTTGGTGCAAGGCTGGGTTTTGAAATATAAGGCAGTCTTGTGCCCAGATTCTTACTATCTACCTAGACCAGTTATTCATGCTGGATGCTCACGCAGCTTTGCTTGCAAAACACTTGGCAGAAACTATACTGGCTCTATCACGCTTTAAAGCAGTGGAGATAAACCACGTAGCAGGTAAATGGCCGATAGGAGCCGATTAGTGGGAAAAGATTTCGTCATCTGTTTGCCTACTTTAACATCGTCTCAGCTAATATTGTCAAATTTGACTTCGAAAGCACGATAGTTGGGCATTTAAATTCAACTTGATTGATCTTAAATTACAAACATTACCTAATGTGTGTTTTTATAGGTCTTTAAAACCACTTTTTTTCTTGTGCATAAGCGATTCCAAGGTACATCGAATTCAAGACCACAAATATCTTCTTTAATATAAATATCATAAGAACAAATTTCGCCAACATGATTTCGGTATTATTACACAAATCTTTGCCAACTAACTTCAGAGCTCTGAGCAACTAACAAAGGTTTTTTAACATTGACTGAATCATCAAATTTTAAATTCCGACATCTTGTTCTAGTCTGGATTTTGGCATTTAAACTTGCCTAGAGACCCAAAGGAATACTTATTTCCCAATTTTGAAATGTTATAAAGCCTACCAACTGGTGTTAACTGAATTATAAGCTGCCGAAAGGGTTAATATGGACGCTGGTAGTCTGCTCATCTTTATAAGTTGAAGTGGCATAATATAGGTATTCCAAAATCGATTTTCAAACAGCCAATTTCCATGAGTATCTCTATCACAACTTCTTCATCTCCTGGGCGTTGTCGCCTAGGCTCCACCCAGTTTTTCTAGTTTAAACTCAGCTTGAAATGGCGTCCTTGTTTGATTAATTCATGGAGAAATAACTGCATACTTCAGACGGCTAACCGACTGTGCAAACTAGGGTTTAGCCATTAATTAACTCCAATAAATAGGTGCGCGTGTGTATCGGGGGTGTGGCCTGCACCACCGGCAGAATATACGTGAGCGCCGTCTTGTGAAAATGGGTGTGCCTGTACTTAAGTTAGTGTACACTGTTGAGTTTTGATGCCAAGTCTCTCTAGACAGAAAACAACCTACCAAGGCAGCTATACCTCTAGGCTGGTTTGTAGAATAACCCTTACTGGATTTCCGGAATGTAGTGGGAGGTCAGTTGTTTCGGTTTTATTGTAACTTTAAAGAAGTTTGGTGGATTTAAAATAAGTACAAAAATTCTACTTCCTCACTAGAATGATAAACAGCTGAATTATAAGTTATGCAAGTACACGTAACAAGACGCACGTGCCAAGCATTGTGCTTTATTCTGATATTATTTTAAATTTCCATTGGAAATTTTGAGTTAATTTATTCAAGAGCGAATAAGATTGAAACCAATGAATTAAACTAAGGGGCATTTGGTTCAATACATTGCTTTAGGTGGGAATTTAGTCATGTTCTAAAATGTGAATAATTTCTGGATTCACTTGATGAACAAACCAATTTTTACTTTGAGAGGCATTACTTTAGTAACCGGCGTTAAGCCAATGTTTTTCTCTATTTGAAATGTGTTTTTACTAGTGATTGTGAATTTCGAAGCTATTTTGATCCAATTAAAGCAAGATATTTTAGTTTGACATCAGAAAATTTACTTGCACAGCCACGTTTTTAAGTAATAGCGTAGGAAAATACAAAATTGAGTGTTTTTGAATGAAGCTGTGAACTTAACTTCATTTTCAACGTCTTGGCTAAGTAGTTACACTTGAAAACTTGGCAAAGAGCCTGCAAGCTTCCGATTATTTAAATATATTCAAAAAGTGCACAGCCTCTGTTATATTTGTTACGTTTCCATGACTAGATGGGTTTTCAGTTTTTTACGAGTGAACTGAAGAAACTGCTGAACTATGAGAACCTTTTAGGCATATAAACATTAATGTAACCATATCTTGGATAAATTATAGCCTCGTTTTAGTTGCTTCAAAAGTGACAGCAGTCACTACCTTGATTCGCATGATACTTGTTTCAAATACCCCATAAATTCTCTTCATTTTGTCTTATCACACCTCACGTAACGCGTGGGTTGATAACATGTTCAGTAAAGGCACTACTGGAATAGGTAATCCTTGACATATTGTGATACTTATCGGAGCTGTAGTAAAAGTGGCCTATTCTTGAAAAGGTTAAAATCTTTGGTTAATGAATAGGGAAATTTTATAGCCTTGGTCAACCGCGACGGTGCAAGGCCATTAAAAGTCAAGATTAGGATATGGATTCCCAGGAAATTATCAGCGTATCAGGTTCAGTAAAGGAATGGATCCAAATGGTACAGAGAATGTCTTGATGTCAATTATTCAAATATGCCGGATTGATTTCCGAAACAGTATCGTGTATTGTCAAAAATTTTTAAGGAAAACTCATCCATGCCTACTAAAACCACAATCACCGACATTAATTTTCTGTCATGGCCTTTAGACTTGTGTTTGAGGTGATATTATATCTTGGAACTGAGCCTGACTTACTTCTTTGGGTTTCAACTAAACAACTTACAATTAAAGAAAACGCAACTGTTGCCTGTTTTGACCAGGGAATAGTACTTGAAAAATTAACTTGTTGCATAGGTCGCTAATGTCTAGAACATTTCGTTAACTGCAGTCTAATAATTTTACTACGGTGGCAATTTTCCGCTTCGTTGTCAATTCTATCATGTTGTATTTGGCTGTGGGAGATGAACTATTTACGAAGGCGATAACATGAGAAGAAAATTTGAAAACAAAAACAGATTTAGTAAATGACTACCAAAAATTAAAGGTCCTATTAATTTTGTGAAACATAACTACTTTGATTACTAGAAAGCCAATCAAATTTGACACACACTGTTTATCATGTGAGCATACTTTTCTCGATTTAAGTAACTGCATGACTGATATTTAGGATTTAACAACACATTGTTCAAAAGCATTAAAATAATTTTTTGATAGAGTTATTTTGATTTAACTAAGTAAATAGAAGCTCACAAAGTCAAAGAAATGAGGATTATGGCAATATGTCTAAAAATTATATTAAATAATCGCGGGTAAAATATTCAATAGGCCTGATGTTCTGATACTGTAAGGTGTACTATTGTTCAGTAAAAATTATTCTTAATCCAGAAGATGTGACAATTGCTTTATATAAGTGTCTGCAGCTGTTGCACAAGCTGACGTTTTCATTATTATGGGATTCTAAGGAAATAGGCTTTTACGAGTGTGTGTTTGTGCTGAATTAAAGACATCTGACTAAATGTCATCATTGTAAAATGCTTGCTCAAGGACTCTTTAACAAACAAAGAAAATAACAACTGTCAACTTATCTTTATGTTTACTTATGTTTAATCGACCTACTGGGTAGTGCAAGTTAGTGGCGCGTTATGTAAGTGATTCCTTTGGTTTTCTTCAAAGTTGGATTTTAGCTGCGTCGTTGTACTTTGGCGGACGCATTCTTATTGTAAAAATATTTAGACTAACCTGTCAAGGCATCTCGAGCTTTTTAATGTGACATAGTGTATTCCCTAAATAAGTTGAAGACTGTTTGGATAATCTATTGTTAGTGTGCATTATTTTCACGTTCTACGTTAACCCGAAAATACAAGCGGCAAGTAGCTGCAGTTTTTTTATGTTTAACATACCTTCAGCTTTTGTGCAGGTTTGGGTGTTTTTTGTGGAATGTCACTTTTGTGATATTATTAGACTATGCTCTTCTTGATCAGTAAATTTTAATGAACTAGTCTTGACTTTTTTAGCACTTCTTTTACCATATTATACATCATGTCCCCTTATTTTTCCGAAGTTCATTTTACTGTTTTTACATAATGATCACGGGCGTATCTATTTTGAGGTCGTTTTCTTTCACTGATATTTTATTGTATTTGCATGTGATCGAAATTTTATTGTAACTACCAATTTTCTATTCTAATTCACTGGTGTGTGCAATCATTCTTTCAATTGGTTTGTTAATTGATGCTTGTTGTTTGATCATTGAAACGTAAAACAAGTCCCATTTTAATGTTTTTTCTGCATTTAGTTAGTCGTCTTCCACCGATCAATTGTTTCCTAAAGCATGTTCGTCCGCAAGAGTAAATTCAAACATATAATCGGCAAGCCTAACAAGAAGGAGTTCTGCTATGACGAAATTCGAATCACGAAAAGTAGTTGGGATTCTACATTCTGTTCTGTAAACCCGAAGTACCTAGCAATTATTACGGAGGCCGCAGGAGGTGGCGCCTTTCTCGTTTTGCCGATCGAAAAGGTTAGTTCAAAGTCCATGGTTAGCTCATTGACTTATTCAGTAATGCAAAGTCTCTGGTGCGTATTTCATTTATTTGTTCCACATACAATTAAAGGCAGGGCCTGCTAAATCTCCTTAAATATGCTGTTCTTAGTAATTACAACATAATTCGTTTTCTAATAAATTGTCTGATGGGTTCCTGGGCGAGTCTAGTCAATTTTACTCCTCCACTTTTGGTAAGAATGTTCAGAATTTTTTTTACATTTTACCAAAAGATAACACTTTTTTTTGGTAACTATTTTTTTTCGTAAATACTATGTTTTGTCAATTCACTGTCCATTTAAGCTACTTTGCTTGTGGAGTTTTAATGACTAGCAGTCGTGGAAACCTAATAGACATCAATCTGCAGCTTTTAATGGTTAAAACCGTGTAAACTAAATGCGCTAAATCACGAATTATTTTTCACTTTCAATTCTTATTACCAAACGATCTTGCTGAGGATAGTTAAATTATGATCACCCTAAAATGGTTTACAGCAGTTTTACAATGCTACATCAGCTTCATATCACTTTTGCTTAAAAGTGGATTTATTTAACATGGATCATTTTCGCTGAATCGTATTAACGTGAATCCGAGTTTTTGTCCGGCACGTCTTTCGTTGCGGTTTCTAATACATCTTTGAATCAGTGTCATGACAATTATTTTGGGATAATGACCCGGATTCAAATTGTCGGTTAAAAAGGTGTTCCAGTCGCGGGTTTGTGAGAACACACAATTCCCCCCAGTTTTTCTATTTTTTATCCCTAAATTATGCCTTGAATATGACCATATACGGTAATGAACTTGATGCACTTTTGGTGATGCGTAGTTTTGGCCGTGCACAAGTTTATGCAAAACGGCAGCCGTTCACAAAAAAACCAATAACAAGAAATTGCACTCTTGGTTTTACGCATAACGAAGGTTTTTTTTCACAAGAGATTTGACTGATTGTTAAAGTCCTGTTTTCAGTCATAGAGAGTTGTGGTCACTGTAAATCTTAGGAATACAGTACCGGGTATCTTTGTGGAATTTATTATTTCCCATCTTTCCAATATGACGTATTATTATAAAAGTATATCTTTCATCTTCCAAATCCTACGTTCACTCATACTAAATATTTTAGAATCTGGTCTGACGGTGGACTTTTTCGTCAATTGTTAGATCAGCTGACAAAATTTGTTCGTATGTTGGCAAATATTTCTTTGCAAACACTGAGAATTTCGTTTTGCCTGTGAATTTTACTTATTGATTGATGTCTTCCATACAGAAGTCACAAGGAAATATGCTACTTGGTAATTAGGTTAAGTTATTGCATGCGTTTTTGGTCCCAACATGACGTTTTTCGTGTCTTGGTGTCTGGAGTAATGAAGGGTTTTGTTAGGTCAGTATTTTTATGTCTTCATTATCAACTGTCAATTTTACTCGAAATCCATTCAGCCTGTGGTGCGTGACTGGCTAGCTTGACAACTAACGCCTCATGTTCTTCACTTCTTTTTGATTAAATTTTACTTGGTTGTGGTTAAGGCGTAAGAAGACGCGAAAAGTGTTTTCAGTCTCGGGGTATAAGTCCTGTTCCCAGTGCTGGCATATTAAGATATTTTAGTTCATTCATGCAAATGTGAAATGTTTTCCATCGATTGCGATGCTTGTGCAATGCTTAAAAGCACTGTCAATTTTGGCTCCAGTTTGCCACTGCGATGATGTAGGCACACTGAAATGCGGCTTTTTATCTTTGCTTGCCTACTTAATCTGCCTATTGACTGTGCTGCTGTGGTGAGTAGCGGAGAGAAGTGGATTGCTGAACTGTTCAGGCAATGGTCTATTTCGAGAACGGGCTTAACACCCCTCAAACCAAACTAAATAACCAAAAAATTAATTTCTAATCTAAATCCAAGAGTTGCGGACAGGAAGTAGCTTCTACTTTTGTCTACTTAGTAAATTCTATTGCAATTACTTCGCGACCTCAAGAAAACCACTTGTGAATGTGTGCGTGACCTTACAATTCTGGATTTTTTTGTAGACGTTGTAGGGCTGTCTTCTCTCTACGTGAATTTCATGATCCGTGCGTAGTTTTGTGCATGCATGTGCGCGGTTTTCGATCTGTCGAATCCAATTGGACACCTCTATCTACACAATTCAAAATTCAGGTCCTCTTTACGATTTACTACACTTACTGCAGATTAATGTAATCAGGACCAGGCTGAAGGCTATTTTGTGACAACGAAACATTGTTTCCCAACATGCGTTTCGGTGAATTACCATCCTGAACTACCCTAATTCGAATAGTCTTTTGCCGCGAAAACCCAGTACTGAATTTTCCCCTCCACCATGCTTCCTCTTTATCCTAATATTTGGTGTTGTGCGTTATTTGTTGTGCAGGCTAGGTGAAAACCTTTAGATTTCACTGGGTGGTACATTCATTAGCGAATCTCAGGATTCGGTGTAATTAGTGAAAATTTTAGTCGCTAAGCTAAAATCGGCTTCAACGTTTTCCCAAGACTTCGTGATTTGTTGCATCGGAGACTAACCAATCAAGTGTTGTCGCAGTATCTCCACTCAGGATGTTGATATTTTGAAAGCGATGTAATTTTTAAAATAAATGCAATAGAAATTTGGCTTTTGGGATGAAATCCAAATAGATTTGCCCCACGGGTGCAGACTACCAGCGGAGTGACCGATTTTGCCGAATCAGTTTTCTTATTTCGACCCCCGCCCCCCCCCAAAAAAAATAGTAATAGCGTTAAGTGCTTTTTCTGGGTGGCATTGTCGACTCACACGGGTGTTTATGCGATTCCTTACTAGGAATTCCTATAAAGGTCATTTCAAGGTCACCGTGGTTTTCCGCCCCTTAGGGAGCCGAAAAATTTGCTCAGTGCACCTATTAAACTTTCAGTACGGACGCGTAGGACGTGATGCTCCATTGGTAGCAGGTCATCGGGCCGCAGTCCTTGACATTGAGTGGTGCCCGCACAACGATGACCTGATCGCTTCAGGCTCCGAGGATTGCACCGCAAAAGTCTGGCAGATTCCTGAAGGTGGTCTCCAACCAGAAAAAAATCTCACCACGCCTGTCGCCGACCTCGTGGCCCATCAACGGAGAGTTGGCCTTGTCAAGTGGCATCCCACGGCCGAATATGTCCTCCTCACTGCTGGTAAACATCCTTTCTGTAGTTATTATCTGGTTGATGTGTAGTATACTGCTTTTGGATTGGGATGCATTGGCTACCCATTCGGCAGTTTTGATTTTAGACATTAAAGTAGATTTTAAAAGCTTTCAGCTAACTGACGTTATGGTTTTTCCTTGCTTTCCTTGTATCAAAAAGCTGTCGAGGCGAGGCTCTGCATTTGTGGTCTGTTTATTACGTCTCGTGAACAGGAACTCCCGCTAGATCAGGCACAGCCTTATTGCAGGACTGCCTGTCAATATCTATAACAGGCAATTGGGCCAACACTGGTTTTGGACCCGGTGTTGTTCTATCTTATTTTCAGGACAAAAGATTCTAGAATTTCTCTTGAAAGGGTTTTAAGCACATTTAGGTAGCATTTGTTTCTGAACCCAACTGTCTGTTTCATCGTGAGACTGTTTTCAAGCCGTCGGAAAGTAGCAACAAGCCTAAAAGGATGTCCTGTTTTGTTGTACCGGCTCTGGTCTTAAGCGCAATCTAATGGTGAAGTATTTTCCTCAATTACTTTAATTTCGCCACAAGCCGGTTTAAAGAATGCTTTTGGTCCACTCCTACACTCTACTTCCACGCGTTAATGACTTGGGACGCTGTATGTCCTTCCCTCAACTTCGGATTCACCGACAGTCCCGTGCTGAGCTGTTTAAGGGGCTAGTCATGACTAATCACGTGACGCCTTGTCCCATACATCCGAGTTGCCGACCTTTTATTTCTACTTATTCCTTTTCTGCTTAACAATTGCCTGTTTAATTATAGGGGCAGATAATATGATTTTTATCTGGAATGTCTCAACTGAGGAGAAATTGATTACTATCAGCTTCCCCGACATGGTACTTTCAGCCAGCTTCAATTGGAATGGTTCGCGTTTAGTTACAACATGCAAGGACCGTCACACACGAATCATCGACCCCCGAAAAGGCACTATTCTTAAAGCAAGTTATCCATGCTTTTGTTCTTGAGCACACTGTCAGTTAGGATAGGTGGATGTGTGAATTCACTGTAAGCCACTACCTGACCATCAGGACATTTCTATAATGGCCCATTCAATTCTCAACCTACAACTGGGGAATCCTTGTGGGATTTTGACAGAAAATTGCCCCCGTTCTGATACCTTGGAGTTCATCACAAGGTGGACTTGATTCCGATTAGTTCCCCGTTAAACTCTGAAGCTTCATGCTCACGTGACCCGGGTTTATCAGTTCCCAGACCACTTAACTTGCTACGCATATTATGATACCTGTCTGGCCATAATTGATGACCTAACCGAAATCAAGCCTTATCACTTTTGGTCGATAAAGGTGTACCTTTCTTCTATAGAGTACCCCCGAAACCCAAAATATCAGCCTAATTTACTCAATCGAATGTTTGGAGGGCGAATTTGCACACTTGATATCAGCTTTGTGTGTGTGTGTGGAAGAGGGTCGTGGAGTATTTTGCTTTCCATTCCCCCACACTCCACGCCAACTGCTGATAACTTACAGGCAGATACCGCGCATTATGTACAAGGCCTTTAGTTAAAACGTTCCCTTTGGAGAATCGGGATTTTGAACCAGCCCCCTCTTGTCTCCCGGCTATGCTTTCCATTCTATGGGTGATGTGTGTGCTTATCTCTTCGTGTTCGTTGCTAAATTGAAACGTTTTCATCTTTGTCAAATTAAATAAGTTTGGTGTAAGACTTTTTGCTTGTTCTGAGTTCGCTTAGTGGTGGCGCTCTCACAAAAAACCCAAGCTGAGTGGGTGGTTTAAGGTTGCGGTTTATGGTCTCACACCTCGGTTTAAACTCGTTGGAGCCGCAGCCATCTGAAGTCAAAACATTCCATCTGTTGCTTGAACTTAACAAGTTCATGCTCACGAAGGATAATCTTGTTTATGTCGTCTTTGAAGACAACCAATTGTGGCTGTCGCAATTTGTAAAAATAAACTAGGAAGGTATTGAGTTTTTTTGTATTCATTGCTTAAAATCATCACCTTCCGTATTATAGGAAAATATATGTCACCAGGGAACCAAACCACAGCAGGCTATTTATCTCAAAGATGGTCGCATCTTTACCACCGGATTTTCGCCAATGAGCGAACGTCAGCTTGCCCTATGGGCCAAGGTAAGTTTGTTTGTGTTATCATTTTGCGGTGATGATTCGCTTTCTCAGTTTGCTATCCACCCCGCGACCAGAAAAGAACCAGTATCAAGGAAGCAGATTCTAGCAATATCGACGGCTTGTTTTTTTAAGTTTACTTTTTCTTGCTTGTTTTACGGGGTTAAAAAAAGGAACGGGGTGTACTTTCACTGATATATTTTCTGAAACGACAGTGATGTCTCCTATATCGGGCCTCTGGTGCTCACAAGTGGCTTTGACTGGTATATCTTGGTGTTTTCTCCAAAGATAAGAGTGAAGTTTTCGTATCTTATCGAGACTAGCAGGAGCGTAGGAAATTTGACAACAAAACATCTCTTACCGTCTGAAACCTTTACGGGCGTTCTGGCCGCGGCTCACAGGCGTGTACCCTGGCCGTTTTGAAACTTTTGAGGACATCTTGCCTACCCAAGTTTGTTCTTTAAGTCACCTTTACAATTGTTCCATTTGGTCGGCATCCAAACGCATGGTTTTTTTCCTGTGAGCATTCAATACACATCAATGAACTATTGCGTCGTTAAGCTCTTCAGCACGTGTTATTGCACAGCTATTTCGTTGTTGTTATTGTTATCTGTCACATTTCCTAGCACCACCATACTAATGAAATGCATTTATAAATTGATTTAGTTCTTCTCAATCACCTAACTAGCAGGTGTGGTGTCAAAGTTTGCATCTTTTTTGCCAACATTTACGCAAATGGCTCTCTTGTACATGTCTTTGCTCGGTTGAAAGTGTGCAATTCCAAATGCTGTACTTCGTACTTTCCCATGAACTGATTAGCCCTGCCGCATATTATTGTGCCATTGGTATAAGTTCGCAGTTTTACAACTGACCTGCTTCATTAGTAGGAAATGGGTGTTGTGATTTTCTCTTCCGAATTCGAAGGGTAGGATGTAGACGACAATACGCAAATCAATTACTTTCACCAGCAATGTTTCCTGTTTTGATAGTCAAAGGTTTCTTCCGCTTACAAATTAAACATGTGCGCAATTTCTCGCCTGGTGTGTTTGGCTATTGTAGGATGATGTGACAACAAAACTGGTTGAACAGGATCTCGACATCAGCAACGGCATCATGTTCCCCTTCTATGACCCCGACAGTAACCTTATCTTTCTTTGTGGCAAGGTAAGTATGGTGAAATCTTACACGTTTCTGGTGGGTCACCGCCTCCCAGTTGTTGTTTGAAGGGGATCAACTTGCAGGTACTGCGAACAATCTGGTCACGCGCGCGACAAAGTGACTCAAGTGAGAACTTAGCTAGCATGGGCAAATATTTCGTCATGAAATTTCACACCAAAGCCACAACCAACATTAAATCTACCAACCAATCGTATTGCACAAAATCTTTTTGCTGTTAAACCTCAGAAACAGGAGCATCTTAAACATGTTTAATCAGCTCAATTATCTTGACCACATTAATGGAATTATTTGACTACTGTTAGATAAGAGCCCATTTTAAATTTTCTCTCATAAGCCACAAAACCCTGAACCACCTGACCTCAGTTCGTTTAAACCTGGGCGACATTTCGCGCCTTTGTGATTCTCCCCATTGGTTTTCAACACTCACGTGTTTCTCCCTCTTTTCTTTGGCTACTTCGGACCGAGCATTGGCCACGGGACCTGTTCACTACGTGAACTTTGCCGGTTTCGTAACGTGCACTTTTTTTGCTTCGAGGGTGACTCTTCGATGCGCTACTTCGAAGTGACGGACGACGATCCTTATGTCTACTTTATTGACACCATGACCACCTCGGACCCACAACGTGGCATGGGCTGGATGCCTAAGCGGGGTCTCAACGTAAACCAAAATGAGATTGCGCGTTTCTACAAACTCCATACGCGCGGTTTCTGTGAGGTGATCCCATTCACGGTGCCGCGAAAGTCCGTCCTCTACCAGGACGACCTCTACCCGGACACCGCCAGTGATACGCCAGCACTGTCTGCAGACGAGTGGATGTCAGGCAAGGATGCTGATCCCGTCTTGGTGAGTGGTCAATTCCATGCTTTTCGGTCAACAGATGCGCCCCTCTCTAAACTCTTGAAACATTATTGAACTTTTCAAGCTCATATAAGGATTTCATTTTCCAGACCAATCGATTCGTGGAGTGCCTGTTTCACGATGTGCCCTGGCACATAGTAGATAGGCCCTGTTTTCGTCTCGTCTTCACGAGCTTATTAACCACGCTGATTCGGTCTGTCATTTGTTTTGTTTGCCTCCACTCCTCTCATCGCGTGAGATACGTTGACTTGATTTATGGACGTTCGAAAGCATCAAGTATCGTTCATTTCTGGGTTTTCGGGCCGTACTTTACCTGAATTAATTTGCTTTCGTTTAATAATTGGGATTATGACTAAAATGGTTCCTTTTGTTGTACGTGATTATGCATTCTTCGTGTCTTTCAGGTCATTTTAGGTCCAAACTTTCCGATTCAGATCTGACAGTCTTAAAACGATACCATTCCTCAGGACTGCTGTTTTGTCAAGTGTTGCCAATCGTTTTCAGACCGTGCTGCCAAACCCATCAGCAAAGCCCTAACCAGCATCATCAAGTCGCCTAAGTCACGACATGAATTTGCTTTATTTCATCCTGGTTGCTGTCGTCTTTGTGTTCGCCACTGGTTTAATCCCGCTAGAAAGCCTGTGCGGCTCGTGCGTGCCCTACCGAACCAAGCGGCCAGCACCCGTGTTCAATTGTGGCCGCCTCTGTTGGCGCGCGCCGCACTCGCCCCGGGCTCGCCTGCCCACCGCACTGGTTGATGTGTGCGCGGGTGTCACGTGCGCACGCTCACGTGCACACGCGCACATGCGCGTCCCCCGTATCCGCTCGATCGAAGCCACTGTCCATATATGGCTTGTTATGGCGCGTAGCAGCACACTGCGCACACCCTCGGCGTCGCGTGGTGCTGCGAGCCTTGCTGGCGCCCAGTGGCAAAACTTGCCCATCTAGGGGTCAAGGTTATTTTTCGTAGCACTGCACAGTTCTATGGTATTTCATGAATGTGCTGCTTGCTGCTGAAATCTATGTCTGTGCGTCTGCGGAGGTTACTATAAAGTCGGTGACCTTCCGTATCGCCAACCTGTTTGCTTGCTTTTCGGTACCAGGCATTTACACTACATAAGAACGTTGAGTTCTCACATGGCCATTCCATAATTCTGGGCAGTAATATAGAGATGGTGGTGTCAATCGTCCGCTTCCAAAAAATTACCCGATTTTCAGTTTGTGAGTCTAAAACGTTGTCTTCTAGAGTGCTCCACCCCTCCTATACGCTAGCGAGAAAAACAGTTATCGGTTGTGTTGCGTTTTCACGCCTAGTGCGTGTTTAACGTGTGTCTCCGGCTGTCTTGAAAGTCCAATACCCGGTAACAGTCCGGTCATTATTCGAATATAGGCCCATCCTTGCAAAGGTCTTTGTTCGGCATTTGCGTGTCCGATCAACTTCACATAGACTGTGTTTTGGTCATTACCCAGTCCTAGTAGTAATTGTTTAGACCACCAACCGAATGGAGCATGAAGTTCATTCGTACAAAGAAATTAAATGCACTTGTAGATCCATAAAATGCTGTCTGGTTTCGCGTCACTCGTCGTGAGCCGCTTTCGTAGTGTTGAAAACTCGATCGAATTCAGTTTCTCTTCCTTTATAAGTGGCACACTGCCTAGAACTGCACACCAAATCACCTTGACGAATTGCACCATGTTTCCGACACTAATCTCACCTTATCAATATTTATAAAGCGCATTGGGATGTCAGACTAGTGAGCTGCGAGTCATGTCAGCCCTAATTCCCCAGCAGGTCAGTCGGTAGTGTGTGCAGTCCGGTTTTCCATTTTACGAGTACATTACTCGCATCGAACTGGCTCTTGAATATTTGTGTGTCAGGATAAGTGAACCTATTAAGGAACTTCCTTATTACTACAATATGAACTACGGTACTTGGAGCGTTGTCTTTTTAAATTAGCTAGAACCCTTTGCTAGGATTTATTTTATAACCCCGCCGCTTATTGATTGCAGGAAAGTAAAGGCGAGTAATGTGCAATGTGACAGGTGCGTGTAGCCCTATTCGATGATGATGCACCATTCAACATTTTTCTCGGAGAGCCGTTCGTTCCAGTCCTTACACTGTGTGTGCCCATCATGCGCCTCGCACTGACTGTCCTGTCAGTTTCACGTAAATATCTTGTTTGCACTCCCATCGTAAACGTGCGGTTAGCCTCCCTGATCCAACTGAACACGATCAACTCGTGACTCAAATTTGTGGCGGTACCTCGTAGATTTGCACTTCTAACGGTAAAAATATGCGCCGACGAGGCCTGCACGCTGTTAATCCTGGCTAGTCTAGATGCAAATGTGTGCTCACCTGTAACCTATGTGTAAAATTTGTCGCCAACGTAATTTTGAGAACACGTTGCGTGTGTTTTGACTTAATGCGTGTTCTAGGTCAGTTGTCTTTTGAGCCAAGAGTCGTTTAATCTGTGCAGTAACCCGACAACCTATCTAGTCATCTCGCTACATTGCCGTAAGACGATAAGAATTTGAAAAGTCCCGATAAGACAGCAACCACAACGACTTAGTAAAATGTTGCTTCATTTTCACCTTATTTACCATTTGCGTACATTTGTCGTGTTAGCTAATATGGTTCAAATCAAATCAATGCCTCAATAACTGCGGATGTTGCAGAAATATGTTCTGTTTGGTTAATGGATGGCCTAAATCTGCTTTTTTTAGCAAAAATCAGTTATAATTTTGACTGGCAAAACCTCTCTCTTCCATCGGACTGAAAACATTTATTTTCCTCCATTCTGTTAGCCAATTTGTAGTTGGAGGCTCTGTGATTGCGCACTAGCGGAAAGTGTTCTCTTATGTCAGGCTCAATTTCCACTTTTCTGTTGCTTTTAAAGGCATTTTTTCTGTAACCTTGTCGGACTTCAGTGGAACCGAACTCCGATTTTCTGCTGCCAAATTTGTCCGTGAAAGTAGTCTTTCTTTTTCTTTGTCATCTACTTTTAGAGTTGCCTGTTATGTGATTTACTTCGTGTTGCCTTAAGATGTCGCTGAGGGATGGTTTCGTGAGCGGAGACTCGAAATCCAAGAAAAATGGAAAGATGCCACCAAATCGACTGAAGTTGGCTGAGTCGAAGCTGAGTAGCGGGCATCATCAGAACCAACAACAAACATCCTCGTCAATTTCTGATTCTGCTCGCCACTCCACCGCTGGATCAAACGCCGTCACTCCAAGTGGGGAAGTAGCCAAGTCGGTGAGTCAGTTTATCTAAAATTAATACGACCTACAGATTAACTAAATACCTAAACATTTTAACGATTACATTTGATGGTAAGTACTTTTTTCTACTGCAGTCAAAACTCTGATGGTTTTAAGATGGTGCTCAATCGTGCAGTGTAGAACCTACACTCTGGATGTCAGTTAAACCGGATATCGTTGTAATTAGTGAGCAGTAGTTTTGTCGTCCCATGACCGCGCTGGAAGACATATCTCTATGAGGATCCGACAGACGTCCTGCTGCGTGAACGCAATGGCTTTGAAGCGCGCGTTGTGCCGCCCCGCGGACATCGATCGTGCACAGTTTTGCAGAACTCTGCTACTTGCGTAAATTTACCACGTGTAACCCAAGGCAAACGGCTGTGTGTGAATTAATAATATGTCTTCCAATATCCGCTTTCGAATATTTTAGGCGGACCTTAGCGGAATTAACCCCGAGGACGTGCTTCAGCTGTTAGATGACATGCGAAAAATGAAGATTATTATCAAGGGCCACGAGAGGCGAATAAAACAACTGGAAGAACGCCTAAAAGGGGTGGAGTAACCTGCTTGTTAGCGCGTAGCAGTCATTACTAGACCCCTTACGTCATCATTGACTTGCCCTCGTTATAGTTGCCTATTTCCTCCGTCCCCTAATTTTCTGCCTTCTACTTCTTACCTTTGCCTCCTCCCCACTCCACAGCTCTTTGCTTACGGGCCCTCACACTCCTGTCTTGGCTTGTGTTGCATTTATGCCAGGCCCTGAGCCTTGAGCCTCCACCCAAATACAAAGACACTGACACAACGATCTCGACTGCAAACGCCCTCCTCTCACCCCTGGACCACCACGACCATTGTGTATTTGAAAAAAAGCGAGGTAGAAAAGATATGTTTACTCTTCTTGACGAAGCACCTTACTTTTTTCTGTTCAGGATGCGGTAGGGGAACTGTAGCTTTGCGTCAATCAGGCTGATTCCTTTCGAGTCTCAACCCATTGTGCATGCCCACTCTCTGCTCCACCGCACCCACCACGCTTGCGCATCGGGTCCTCTCTCGGCAGCTGCCCACCACGCAGCAGGCGCCCATGCGAGGTGGTCGTGGCCGCGATTGTGGCTCGCACCATGTCACTGCGGGCTTGTGTCACGACCCCATCACATGTCTACCGGGACGATCGGTGTGGAGTACACTGAAGGCGACCGATTTGTAAATCATGCCCTTGGAATCAGCAAAATTAGACCTAGTCTGCACGCAACTCTGTGAGACGATACGAGCAAGAGTGAACTCGTTGTTTTTTCCAATGCCAAGTGCTGTGCATTCCTAGTGGCGTCTTGAGTAGCGTTGATTTCCATCGATGAAACAACATTCGTATTGCAATGAAAGTAATCGGTTAATTTTTTATGTTGTGTCATAGATAGGCTAATACTCTAACCACCGAAACCGTTTAGTGCTGCTTCGTAACTGAAGCCTCCGTGTCCTACCGCCAGTCGTCAGTTAATTTACAGCAACATGGTACTCTAGCCCCTAGCAATTACTCACAGTTCGCACAGGTTTATCTGCTCTTTTTTTCCTCGGTCCTGCTTACAAAACTCAACTACTGCATTAATCAGTTTTATCTAATCATAGTTATAAAATTTACGGTGGTAGTCACCGCCGTGCCAATCTCGTTGGGACAGTAATTTTTACCACACACCGCCAAGCGTTATGCTGAGGTCTGAACCTTGTTTCACAAAACGATGACTCGAGTATGCTTTATCAGCTTGCACCGTCTTATTGTCATGGCACTCGCAATATGTGTTTGCGCTCACTATTTTAACCGCATTATGCATCATGATGTCTGATAACATGTGAGTTTAAAGCTCTGTCGCAGACCTCTTTGGTGTATTCCGCCATGGGTCCTTCATGTCACCAAAGAAATTTTCCAGGAATCAGATTTCACAACCTGTCATCCTCTTTTAATCGCGAGACACTGTCAGTGGCTTCAAGGCCATCAGTTTCGAGTGGATAAGTACTTTCAAAATAGCTTCTGTTACTGCGTCGTTGTGTGATTAAATGTTCAAGAGGCATTACCCCCTTCTAGGAAAGCATCAAATGCCACCTACCACAACAGGGAAACCAAATATTACTTAGGAAAGGTTTATTTGATAGTTCGTGTCGTAATTAGGGAAGAAACAAGTGATCCTCCAGAAATTGCGCCACCGAGGTAGCAACTGGGGAAGCAGTTCAATTAAACCCCCTGCACCAAGTCTCGTAGCGAAACGCGCATGCACTAATTTGCCTCGTTTAATAAAACCCTTTATCCTACGTGACGGGTGTGGTTAAAGCCTGCCTAAATGAAATTTCATAAAAGTATCACAGGTAACTAACAGAATACCTTTTGGTTGGAAAACAACTGAGAGGTCCAATTTTCTATTTTTCTAACAACTTCGTGGACACCAACTACAACGTACCATTCAGGAAGTAAACAATGTTTGTTTCCCACTGGGACTTCTTCCTGATTGTTAATTCGCCTAAGACGCCAGGTTTTTTTCTAGATGCACATACTGGCGGCCCATATTCGTGCCATAATTTTTGAATGTTACCTTGCGTGTATTTTCACGAAATTACTTATTGTGGTGAATTTGGCTAGCAACGTACACTATTCGTGAGGATCCACCCAATGCTATGCGAGAAGAACTGTAAGCCACTGCTTCATGAGTGAATATCGATTGATTTTAAAATAAACCGCGGTTTAATAGCACGATTATGCGTGACGGGGATCATTGTTGCTGGAACGAGTAATAATCCCACAAATTAACCCACAAAATGGAAGCTGCGATGATAAAAGAAGTCCTTCTGGAAACAGGGTGGCAGTCATCTTTTTCATTTCCAACGGCCTCAAAAGAAAACATTCAACTTTTGGAACTTGTGAGTTTCCTTCATGTCCCGCATTGAATGGTTTGTCACGTGAGTTTTAGATAAAGCCCGAATATCACGCATGCCTAGTAGGGATTTTGAATTGGCATCGAAAAAATATTCTATAAATTCGATTGGTGAATATATTATCTAGTAACTTACTAAAATGTACGAATCCACGCATCAAAAATTTCTGAACATCGTTTGTTAGTAAGGAAAATTGAAAAATCCGTGGGCGTATACGGTAAAATTCCTGGTAAAACTAGCTGTGGCGAACGGCGACTTAGTATTCGGATTAATCGTTACGCATTTTACAAGCATGTAGTGACCTCAAGGTGATCTAATGTGCATCCGATGCTTGATGTGAGAAGATCAATTCTGTTATCAAATCAGTCGAATTGTGCTAATACTGCACGTCAGTTATAAAGCGGTGGTTAAATGTTTTGCCCCAAGTAACGATGCTGTAGCATTTGCAAATATTGTATTTCACCAACCAATATGACAGAGGTGTTTTGAATGTGCCATGGACACAGGCAAAATGTTTAACTCTCGCCGCTCGGGGCCGCCTGCTTTCCATTTTAGCCAACGTTAGACACTTATAATGTTAAGAACAAATCCGTGCCACTTTAAAGGTCTTTTAGTCGCTCATCGAATAAGCACAATTTTCTGTGTTTGTGTGTAAAGAAATTTGTATGATTATTGTAAAAAGAAAACTAACACAGAGTTGAGATTTAATTACCAAGACACACTTTCGAAGAATGTACTACTTTCGCGTCATGCCTTTTGAATAGCTGACAGAGACGAAGGCCAAAATATGCGAAACAACGGAGGAGTTGGAGATGTACGTAGAGAAGAACAAGAAGCTTTCTGATCACATTTGCCTAGTGAAGAATGAGCGAAATCTCACTGAGCGTTTGAAGGTTGAGGTAGACAAGGAAATTGCCGATTTGGAACATTCTATCAAAATGGCTGAGCAGGAAAACTGGAGGACCATGAACGACCACAAGAAACTAATTAACCTGAAAAAGAAACTCACATCCGGACTTGGAGCTCTTGAGGTACAAATTCGTTCAATTTAAATGAATTTATTAAAAAAAATTATGTCTTACCTATTTTGATTAGAATTATAGTGTGTAAATTTATAACTGGACATGGCTTTCCATTGGCAAACATTTTAGCTAACGGTGATTTGAGAAGACTGTAGATTAAGGTGAAAGCAATTATTTATTAGAAGATTGAGCACAAAATGTTACATTTATAATTTCTACTGTATCCCGAGGTCTGGATAGCGCGCACTAAGTTTGGTTCCGTTTTTTCTTAAATGAAAGCTTTGAGCTATAGCAAGAGTCTTATTTAGTAATTTCTCTCATTAAATTCAGAACCATTCTAACGTCCTTCAAATCACATCTAAATTCGATCCTTTAAATGAGAAAAGAGATTTATACGCTTAAGTCAAAGGTTCGTCTTCGCATAGTCGAAAGCACTTTTCTTCGTGAATGAACGAGGATTACGATCCAAGTGTTGCGTTGCGCAAAACTGGAAACTCATGCCATCCGGCCAATCAGCCTTAACCGCTTGACTTTACCAAGGTCATTGGCTGGACACTTGCATTCGAGATGAGGCAATCTATATTTGGAGTTGAAAAATCACAAAAAAAGGTTAAAAAAACCTTAGCTGCCAAATAATGCACATGTTGGGCTGTACAGTTGACCCAAATATTGGACGGGAAGCGGGTTGAGGAAGTGGAACTTCTATATTGCTTCAGATTTTACCCAAATTTACGAATAGAAGTTGTTCAAATAGAAGGTTGACTGCTTAAAAACCCGAATCAAACTGAATTGTACTTTAAAAATATTTGGGATCATTTTCCTTCCAGAACCAACTCAATCACAAATCATTCACTGTTCATGGTTCAATTTTTGCAAGATGGGGATATGTTAATGCAATGTGAACGTCAGACAAAAGAACCATTGATAAATAGTTCCGTGACAATTATCTAAATGAAAATATGATTATGTATAGACAAATCTAGAATGGCAACCCGTTTATCTTGGTTACCAGAGCTAATGACTTGACGGGAAATTTACTTCGGAAAGTGTAGCCATCTACCATCATGGCAGAGGATCAGTGCAGGAGCAGATTATCCTCTTGTAATCATTAAGCTAAACGGTGGTCAGTGATTGTTATCCAGAACCCATCTACTAGGGATTGTGTTGTAACACATTGGTCTGAAATACGACATTACGTGTTTGCCGAATGTACGATGTGTGCTAGTGCATGCATTTTAGAAAGGCCACGAACATTGAAAAGAAACAGGAAGAAGGTTTACTGCAATTACTAGATTTCCTTCGATCTGTGTCCCATTTGCCACCTCGCCATGCGTGCCTGCTATGCCGCTAGGCCTCGGGGGGACTTGTCACTTGCACGTCCGAGTCTAATTTAAAACCTTGACCTCGTTTTGCACGCAAAAGTACATACGCTACTGCAGCTTAAACGAACGTAGTCAAGACCGAAAATTTGAGAGAAACGTCTGACTGAATTATCAGGGCTGACTGCCACACGTTGATACCATCTGACGAGGCACCCGTGTTTACTACATCGACATGTACGAACGAAGACTACGACCACTTAGTCTGACTCGGTGTAGTCATTCTATGATAAGTCAGAGTGACTGTCTGTGTAGGGTTTTTAATTTAATCGCCAAATTAACATGTCACATCATTTTTTGAACAAATTCGTTTATTTTTAGGATGAAATATTCCTTAAATCAAACGAACTGACCTCGATCAAGACAGAATTAGACTGTGACCAGAAACTCGTGGAACAATTCTTAACAGATTGCGAAATGGATTATGCTTTGAAAAAGCGACTCCAATCTATAGATAAAACCGACAATACATTAATCCAGGTAGGTTATTTGGTTTAGTTTTCTTCTCACAAATGCATGCTCAGCTTCATACGTTCATTTATCTGATCAATTTATCACCCAGCTATAGTTGAAATTGTGGGTTGGTGACTAGGTGATTTTTACACGCATAATTATGTGGTTACGCTCGAGTAGTTTCGGGTTCGGTGGACACTACTTAAGCCTACACCGCTGAGGGCCATAAAGTAACCGTACCAATTCCATTTTGTCGATTATCTGCACTATATCCAATAAAACAAGTCACATATGTGCTTAAGCAACGCCATTGGGACATCAGCGAGTGGAAATAATGCCAACGCTAAAGGAGAATTTCTTTTGAAATCGTTGTACGTGGCGAGTCACTTAGTCAATGGTAAGACGTCGAATGGGACTTCTCAAGTGTTAAAACGATGAAATTTCACAATTAGGCCATCAGAGAAATTTACTGTTTATGTGAGGAGAGTGGCGGGTAAATCCGTCACAGTTGAGCCTAGTAATATGTTCAATAGTAGACCAGAAAAGCTGTTTAGTAGTAGAACAGGAAGAAGAAGAATGAGAATTTAAAGAATGTAGACTCTGTTTAAAGTAGCTTTTTTTCTCTTCAGCAATGCATCAAAAATAGTTTTTATCTATTAATGTTAATACTTTTCTAATTTTAGTTGATGAAACAGGGTTGTATGTTAATATGCCTCTTGGTTTTTTTCCGTTGTTGCAATATCTCTACCTATAATATGGTACCTGGCTTGGTTTTTTGATGAGCTGCTCTATTTAAATCGTGTTAGGAACTAAATTATCAAATCCTGTCTGCGAATAAGAATTCGTTGTTTGCTTTCGACCAAACGAAGTAGGATTAATATTGTTGCATTTTATCAGACAAAAACAGCGTTGTTAATACGTTATTATGCATGGGTGAGCAATTCTGGATGCAGAGATCTATACAGGAATAATTCGTGACATAACGCGACATAGTCATACGCTTTTCTTTTCGTTTATTACAGTTTCTCTTTAGTGAGGAAAACAAATTGAACGATAAGAGGAACGACCTTCTCAAGAAGCTGGACACGGTTGTGTCAAAAAATGAGGTGGTCCAGCTACGCATCGACACAACGGCTGAAATGGGCAGGGAAGAGAACAGAAATCGACAAGAGATGCTCCAACTGTGGGAAAAGACCGTCAAGCAGTTGTCTGATCGTGATGCTGACTTTGTCAAATTGGGAAAGGTAAGGGATCCTTACGAATGCCGAGACTGATAGTAAGAATAAAAGTGCGTCGACGAAATCATAACTTTAAAAAGCGCCATGAAGCTGCAGTTCTTAGAGTTATTGTAGCTAATGTTGATTTTGCATTGTGAAATCGGGATCAGCAAGAAAATCCTAATGCCACAAACATCTCTGCTAAGCATAAACAAGAATGAACAGGATTCGAATGAACGAAGATAAAAAAATTGAATTTTTACTTACGCACAGCTGTGTGCACTCCACTACGTTGCGATGTTTTCATATGGTTTCCACTGACGGGATCGTCTCGGCACTCACAGCACTCCTTCTACTGTTCTGGGTAGTCACTTTAGCCAAAATTGGTCAATGATTTGTACCATTTACAAAGGATGGGCATTTTGTGCCTACTCAAATTGGATCCTCTAGTTTTCCGAACTCCCATTAAAAGACGTTTCCAGCGACAAAAATTGCAAAACACTTGCTAAGTACTTTAAGGTCAAAATGGGTCATATTTGTCATACATCATTGCACCTATCTTGGCAGCAAACTCAGAATGAGTAGGAATGGCGAATTGTAAGCAAAGTACGGCGCCCCTACAGTATGTTTATGAAACCCATTGAAGATAAAGTTGAGAATTATTCTAACCCATTCGTATTTGATACCCAATGGCTAAATTTGTTAACTGGACTCGAAGCAAAAACGTAAGTCAGATCCCTTGTAGTGCGGGTATTTGTCTGGAACAACTTTTAACTAACTAAATTGGATAATAACTCGCGATTTCATGACATAATAGGGATCGTCATTTTAAGAGTGGTTCATAATAACGGATCTATTGTATTACGTTTCATGTTTACCACATTCACTGATGACTAGCCTTTGGGCAGATCTTGAATTTTCTGTTCCTGACTGATGGTTAAAGCATTTTAAGGATTTCAAGCATTCTGCCTAGGACTACGATGAACTTCTTTCTGATATAAAAGAGAGGCGGGCAAAACTTCACGCGTTTGAGAAGTTACTAGGCAGTATTGGTCAGGACATCAAGGATGCTAAGAACAGATTCTCGCAAATGAACAAGACAGCCAGTAACGTTCGCCAAATGATCTCCCAGGAATCCAATGATGTCATCGCTGTCGAGAGCGAAGTAAGAATGCCAACAGGTTCTCTTTTTCACTTTTCTGTTTTAAAATATTTGATGTAAATAACTGATTTGAGCTTAGCCATAAAATGGATAATTAACAGTTTTCAACACTAGATGAAAAGCAGTCAGCTGTTTGCCAATTTTAAATTTGCTGATTAATAGCCATCCTAGCAGACAATGCAGAAACACGTGAGGAGGAGTTTACTGAAACCAATTGTTGTTTATAGCTCAGACAACAGTCACACACACACACAACGCTTCAGCTCTGCATTTCCATTTTGTTTAGCTTCTCACCCTTAAAAAATCGATCTCTAAAGTGGCTCAGGAGTTGCGGCAAGTTCGAGCTACCAACAATCACTTGAAAGAATCGAATGCTAGACTGTCTGACAAGTAGGTTTTTTGAGTAATTAATTTAACAAGGTATATTTCTAATACAAAATTGAAATATGGTGACTCGTAAAGTCGAACTCATTGAAACAATGAGGGGGCTTGCAAGTAGAAACTTATCGGATCAGATATGTCTGAAAAAGATCGGGATCTGTGACCCCCCCACCACTTGCTTTGTCCGGCTACCAGCTAAGCCGCACTGTTTACAGAGGACATCTTTAATGCCCTCACATCCACCACACGCTGCCTGTCACCACTTGTCACCGCCTTGGTCTCGGACGCTACAGGTGGCAAATTAGCGCAATGACACGGTGCCACAGGCGAGACGAAAACCAGTTTTTTTTAATTTTGAACCGATTTTATGGAACAGGCTTGCATGCATATTCACCCATTTCGCAGAAACGTGACTAAAGAGCCCTAGGAATGCATACTCCCAGCACGGACCAAAATCCATTCAAGGCAATTCTCACCTTCGAGTTGTTATAACTGGCTGTCAACTGTGTTGATCTCATTTATATTAGGAATGGAAAATTTCACATCAGCCATTTCGTTGAACGCGCTAATTATTCGGAGAGTTAGACTATCGTCTAGCTACCAAATCAAGCTCAGTTCCAACTGTCAGGAGGCTAATTATAGCGTAAAATCATGTTTCGTCCATAACAAGCAAGCAAGCTTGGTAACCGTGTAAAGCCAGTTATGGGTGTCTGCACGTTTGCGTAACGTGTGCTTTAACATTAAAAAGCACAAATTCGAGCATTCAACCGGGCAATAATATGGCTACCTGTGGTAATGATAAATTATCATAATTTTATAAGAGGGACTTGTAAAACACGTGAGACGAAATATGCACGAATTATGCGAATTATCAAAATCATGATTTTCCGCTAACAGCCGATCACGTCTTTGTGCTTGATTCTCTTGAAACAATTACGTCTGCACTTAGTTATTTTCAGGGACCGAAGTGTCGTACAAAAGCCATGCTTCCAAATAGCTCAAATATTTTGAGAAGAAGCATGCGCATGCTAATCAAAAACGAGTCCAGTGGTAGGTTTCATGTGTCCTCAGAATCCACAATTTTCCTTTTGGGAACCAAATTATCCTAAAAACATCGGTTTCGATAAGTAAGCAACACAGTGTATAAAAGTTCTCCCCGAAGTGTGCAGTTGGACAAATGTCAGTTTGGAAATGGGGCGAAGTCTCTGGGCTGGAGTTAAGTCCACGCCACGGTTCATCGTGCTTAGTGTAAGACTTGGTTGCATAATCAAAAAAACACGTGTCCAGAAAATCGACAGGCAAATCCCTTGTCGAATGCAACCTTTGCCTTCCCAGGGCCAGGACAGCGTCAAAATCCACCAAGGCGAACTTGTGCTGTCTCAGCCAAAAGTCCGAATGGCGTGTGCGTGTGTGCCTTGGGCAGATTTGACAGATTAATTAACACAGAGGGGAGATGTCAGTACTTGCATGAAAATGCTGTGATGGTAAACATTATGTGGAAGGCTGACTTCTCCGGCAGATCTTTCTTATAGAAGTAATCAGCAGCAATGCACCCAAGTTGGTTTGATTGCTGAAATCAGTTTCAAAAATGGAGTCACCAAATCACGCAAAGCGGTGTTTCAGCAAACATTTCCTCCGAACAGGAAACTCGCACAGGTCTGGGTGGTAACTGGGAGAGGAGACGGGCCTCTGTGCTAAAGCATAAAATATGCTACCTGCTTTCATTGTGGTGTTAACTGGCGAAGATGTGTAAAATGCTATTCTTACGATAGATTCCTGGTGCCCATGGCTCTGTGCGTTTTACTCATCAAGTTTCATTCAATTCAAAGAAGTCGATTTACGTAATGGAGCGGAATTCGCATGTAATTGTATACATATCACGGGGGTGCATTAAGTGCAACTAAGAACGTTTGTCTACTACATTACTTGCATTCCTTACATTTTTGCCGTCTCTTTTGCATCCACAACAAAACTGCTCAACGGCATAACTATCTGATTGTGACCTTTAGCTTACACATGATGGAGGACACTGTCGGAGTTGTTCTAAGGAAACTGGAAAACCTTAAACGGGAAAATTTTTCTGCCGAAGAGATGCTTAGTATGGTGGAGGAGGAACTTGAAGCCGAGCTGCAATGCCAAAACAAGATTAACAAGAGGCTGTCGAAGTTGAAAACTCTCCGATTCACCATTTCGGAAGTATGTCATTTGTATATTAATGGAAGAAAAAATTGAGTATGTTAAACATGTGCTACTAACGTTTTTGAGTAGTTTGGAAACCGATGGAATATCGAGATGGGTCAGTCCTGAGACGTTACGTGCATAGTAATTCATCGTAAAACCATTTTACAGAATTCACGAGTTAAATATGTAATGGCCGCTCAAAAACAGGGCCTTGGATTATACTGGTATTTAAGTGCAACCTAAAATAGCTTACGTTTTGTGTCTTTTATTGAGCTGTTCTTCAAAAGACCTCCATAGTATTCGTAAATCTTACAATGGCTAACTGTTGGCCATGTCATTTGTGTACACTTTTTATTTCGGACAAGTAACATTGATTTCCTCATGCCAAAGTCGTCAGAAAAGTGGCTGTATGTTAACATTTTGTCCAGCACTGTAGGTTAATCTTGTGACTATGGAATTTCTTTAACATAATGGCTGATTTATGGTCACGAATGAAGCAGTGGTAACTTTGGTCTAATGCACTTTACTCTAGGAAAAGAAGAACGTTGAGAGTGACTCCAAGACCATGCAGGCACTTATAGCTGGATGCCAAGCGAGAATCCGTGTAGCCGACTGTGAAATCCAAATGAGCCAAGCGGTAAGCTCTGCTGTTCCGCAAGAGACTTGTTTACTACTGTCAAGCACTCATGCGATGACAAATTTAAAAAAAACAACAAGTTGTGAAAAGTGTTGAGGAAGGAGGGGGTTTGGGTGTTGAAAATTGGCTCCCGAACTCCTCAGTGGGTGTTTGTGACTTGCCGGCGGAGGCAAAGTGAAAAAAAGTGTCTGCATTGGTGGCGATTGCCACCTCATGCAAATCGAAGTTACGATTTAGTCTAATCAGTTATGGGTCGTATATCAGTGTGTGCCTCAACACTGGCCATGTAATTTGTTTGGATTTTTGTCTTTGCTTCATTGCCTTGGCAGACACGCAGTTTTGGTGGTCATTCGATTTTGTTGTTGCCGATATGGATTATGTAAGAGCCACTTTTATGCGCTCCACTTCCCATTATTTGCATTTTGTGACAAACCATGTCCCCAGTCCTGACCTTCAAACGTTTTAAGTCGGCCAATTGTGCAAGACTCGTGGATTAATCCATTTTATTTTAACAAAAACGTGATCCTGGGGAAGTACGTCAAGTCATGGTATTTTTGTCCAGTGATCTTGTCTAAGCAGCACAGGTCACATGAGTATTGCATTCAGGTTCATGGAATACATGGAATTGCATATTTTTAAATCAAATTGATGTGAAAATAAACACTTTTTCGATAGCGAGTCTTCTCACCTTTGAGGTAAGGTAAGAACTTCTGCGATCTGTAAGATCAAATAGGAAGTGACTGTTGTGGGCCCCAGCATGTGGTCTTGAGCCACGCCGGGGCTGCGGAATTAATCCTGGCCCGGTTACACTTCCCTGATACCAGCGATAAAAAAAAAGATCTGGAGGACGTGGACAAAACCGTTTACTACAGAGTTCAACCTCGTTGGTGTCGTTGTGTCGTGTGTGGGATTTGTGCGTGTGTATTTATACCTCGGATGTGTAAGTCATACATGCGCTAACATCGAGACCTATGTGTGAGGATAATCCAAGATAAATAGTTTGAATGAAGGGGGGGTTGACGATCCGCGCGGCCGACGACATGCTGTGAAAAGGGAACTCTGTCGGAGGTGGATCGACCGGATTAAGAGGTTGAATAAACACGATTCACAACATGACCTAATGCTGACCGATCGTAAACTAAAAGAACTCCTAACGCTTCGTGTAAATAATTATGTCAATTGGTCATTTATCCTGTTCAGTGCCTCACTTAAGAACCTTAAGGCGAATTCAACTTGTCTCAAGAAAAAGGATTGGTATTGTGCTACGATTTCTTCTTATCTGTTTATAAGTTTCAAATTCGAAATACCTAGAGTTAAGGATCCGATAGAGTGACTCATGTCTGCCCAAAGCTTGTTAATAAATGCACAAAATCAGCAACAATGAGTATTCCTAGATGCTTATTGTAGGAAATGGATAAGTTAGATAACCTTATCTACAAATCGTCGTTGGCAGCCAATTTGTTGGAGCGAAGGATCGCTCGAATGGAGACACAGAACACTTATGACGAGGAGGGTGCTGCTCTGGAGAAGAAAGTAAAACACATGCAGGAGCAATACGACAGCCAATGCAAGTGTACACAAACCCTCAGCTCCATGATCGAACAGTATATGGTACATTAATGTTTTGGGATTTTTCTAGGTTTAAAACTTGCAACACCTTAAGGCTTAAAGATTACTTTTCAAGTGCAAAATGCTAAAATTGACAGCGGTTCAATCAAGCACCTTCATTCTAATGGATATTATTTAAATTGATTCAGTTATTATTGATTATCTCATAAACGATGATGGTTAAAATGAGCACTAAATGCTTTCTAAAAGGCAATAGGGACACAAATGGATCTGATTTTTAACCGCTTTCAATGTGCAACTGAGGATCATGTGTATAATTCAGCTTTTGAATGCAATCATGCAACTTTTGTGTAAAAATATAGCTATTTCAAAACAATGTCTAGTTTGTAGCTTCAAAATCTAATTTTAATGATGGTTTCTTGCTGCACACAAGGTGAATTAGTGCTTATTCCTTATTTGGCAAATCTACGTTCACCGATTAGATATGCCCATCAAGCTCTGGGTTAGCTAAATGGAACAAGTGCTGGCTCAAAGGCTCTCCACCTGATGACGGTCACGAAACTATTTTGCCCTTCTTACACGATCTCTTAACTATTTGAACATTTTACCGAAACCTGGTACAAATTTGCACTTACAACCTGGCCAACCTATTTGCAAGGCAGGCGGTAAATATGTCGAGATGGTTACCGGAATTAAAGTATGGCAACATAGGGGATTCTAAGAAGTTAGAATTTTGGCTAAGCCTAATAATTGCTAGTCGGTAAAAGCGTGGGAACTGAGACTTTGTGCCTGCTCCTTGGGGACGGAGACTTAACAACAGCAGATAGAGAGGGTCATTGCCTATGTGAGAGATAAGTGCGAAATAAAGGGGAAACGTTATCCAGGAAAGCACCAGACATAAAGCAATCGCCTTCGTTTTTTTACTCAAAGTCAAGGTTATTGTGAATACGGATCCCACAGCATGATAATGCAACGCCTCAGTTTTATCTGAAAACTCAAATTTTAATATAAATTTGAGTGAGAAACCTGAAAATGAATCATTTATGACTGTTTTAAAGAAGGACTAGCTTCGGTTTATTTAGACTTGCTTTAAGTAAGGAAATCAGGTCAATATTTACGTTTGTGTCGTTGATTTCAGTGTAAAAACTCATTTCACAAAATTCATGTTGGCTCTTAGAACGAAAAGCGGGTTCTGCAGTTGCAGTCCGACAAGTTGAGAGCTGAACTTCGAAAAGGAACGAGCGAAATGGACGGCCTCAAAGTGAATCTTGCAAACACAGAGCGAAGCCTGGAAGGAGCCATTCGATGTCGCAACGAGCTACTTGTTTTTTATAATCTGTCACGTTACCAGGTAAGTTCACTAAGACAGATCTCAGGACGAAAATTGGACACGTTTATGGTGGTCGTAAATAGTAAACAACATGAGCCAAATTTCATTTCATAACACCACCAATCAAACTTCCTCTTTGTGATCGTAAAAAATTTGCACCATAACAATAAAATTAATTCTTTTGAAATCTAGGTCTCTACACTAAATTCCTCGCCTAACAGATGAACTGTAGTGAACCTAAACAGTAATCATTATGTGGCAAGAATTAATTGCACACCTGGATACCTAACGTGTGTAATCCAAGCTAGACAAGCATTCAACTTGTTTGTGTTTACTTTTCAAGGTTTTAGTCTTGAGGTAATCATACTAGCATTCCTGCCGATGCTTTCAGACAAATAATCCGTTGGACGTCAATTCTCTTTCCCCTAATTAAAAATTTACGAGATCGTAATTAGTAAGTATTGTCAAGTGGGCTGTCCCTTGTGTCACTGCTAATGTCAGGAATTCGCATTAACCTGCTAGCCCCTAGATTCATCCCGAAAGGACAGCCTCCAGTTTATTCAAGAATTAAATAATTATAATAATGGGGTCTAACGAAATTTACTGTTATTTCCTGTAATAAGAAAATAAATTGAAAAAAAATAGTGTTGAGCCCGTAGAGAAGGAGAATAAGGAAAATTTCTAATCTGTCGTTTTGTCAGATCAGCTCCCAACTTTCTAAGTCCTATCATTTTAGGACATTATTATGTGTTCAATGTAGGATTTCAAATTGAAGAAGAAACTGTTTTTTGGAGGTAGAATTGAATTTATGAAATTTTTTAATAAGTTCAAATAAATTTATTTCTCTCTGGAGTAGTACAACGTCTCTATAATTTTACTAGAACATTGCATTACATCTAAAGTGACACTGCATTGGTCCGTTGAAAATGTTCCTTCATTTCGGAGGTCTGGTTGTTTGGTGGAATCTTGAGACAAGAGGTTGCCACGACGTAAACCCAAACTGAAGTCTACGTAGGTATTTCGCCCTTTTTAAGTACAGAGAATTTAGGATGGCGGCTTTGGTCTGTCAAATATGCCGCCCCATCAAAGCTGCCGTGATTAAATCTTTATAGAGCTGCCTCACCACGCCTGATACCCCCAGGGCATTTCCCTTGGATGTTTTTTGGCCATGAAAGTTTTTGAATTAACTCATCTTTGAAATAGGTGACTACAAACGTTTTGCGCAACTAGTAACATTTTTTATTAGCTTTCACCTGATATATTTAGACTATCAATGTAGGACCCCCGTTCAAGCCCTAGTTTTCATTCGCATTCTAACGGGGTCTTTTGCAAAATAGGGCCACACTTCCTCTGATTTGCAAGGGATTTTTTTAATTTTAATGCTTGAATGGGAGCCTGAGTCAAATTATTTAATATTTTTAATCCTCCGCTCAAATTTCACTGGGACAACGAAGCTCCTCGTATCGTCCTGATTACAGTGGACTCAAAAGACGCAAACGGTTTCGCATTTACGAGTCCACGAACAGCTTCCTGATTTTCGCGGAGTCACACATTCTGGTAGAAAAGTACCTATACCAGTTTATCTCTGAAAACGAATATCATTAATGAAAACTTACCTTGAAACAATTGCCGGTACACAAGACAACGTCGTTTATTTTACTGAATTTCCATGCAAAATATCACAGCAACTTAATTCCTGCTCTCATAGTTACGAAGGGCCGAGGCGCGCTACAAAATGACTGAGGAGATCACTTTGAACGCGGAAATCCAGGCCCGGACAATTTCTGCCCTTACTAGAGAACTGGAAGAAGAGGCGTCTGCGAGGAATTATCACATCGAGATGGAAATGCGGCAGACCAACTTGGACAGGAGTCGTGTTAAATCTGATCTTGCAAAACGCCAATGTCGACTTGAGCAACTCAAATCTAGGTACGTGCCAAAGCATGAAGCCTTGCCTTCCGTTTCAACTAAGCTGATTAATATCACAGGCTTAGCGTTTTGCAAAATTCAGCGGGTCCAACCAATTTCAAGCTATTCCAAATGTTACCAAATACATTATTTAAACATACACTTTTCGGTCATTAAGTTAGTAAACGCCTAGACGACGACCATGCTCGGTTAACCTTAGTTATTCAGTTCATTGTTTGACATTGTCAAAGCGACTACTCTGCTGTCAATACGTGAATTTTTGTGAAGTTAAATACAATTGTGCCTGTCTTTCTAGGTATGATATTGAAATTTCAATAATATCTGCAGATGGAGACATTGAAGCGGCCCCAACACAAGTAATTGTCAAGGTAATACAAGATTTAACGGAGTAGCCAAATAGATGACTGCTCGATCCTTACAAATTACTATGCCATCCCACAATTTTCTTCTAAAACCATGCAACAGTAAAATATCGACCTGCTCATTTCTGACACTTTCTTTGGGTACAAACAGTCTGTCGGACTGAACATAAACCGAAAGAAGCACCTAAGAGTTCGTGTAGATTTTGAGATGCAAAAGGTTTAAACTAGGTATCACAACTAAATCATATTTTCTGATTGAAAGTTTTCTGCTTTCACACATGAATCCGAGCGCGACTCGGCAACCAGTAGTCCCCAGTGTTCACTTAACCTATAACGAAAAACAAAACTGTAATGTAATATGTTACTTCAATTTCATTACCTTTATTGACCTATGTCCGGCCCATTTAGTACCTCTCCCCTCTGTCTCAGAGCCCTATCGCCAATGCGGACACGCCTGATCATGCGGGCTTGCTTACACGCCCACTTAGTCGATCTTGCCGTTTAGAGATTTGTACTTTTGGTAATTCATCCGACCTCCATAAGTTAACGGCTGTCACAGTCATGTCACCCTGGTGGGCGCCCACAACCTACAAGTACACATGACTTTACGCACGGCGCAACTAATACAAAGCGCGTGTGGACTGGTTTAATAAGTGGTTGAGTTCCTGTCGCGCCTGCAGCCGTCTTTCTCTTCTCCGACGAACACAATCCCGTTTGCTAAAAACAAATGACTTGGTTTGGCTGACGCGAGCATCTGCCTGGAAGCAAATAACTGGTGACTATTTCCAAAGTACCAAAACTGAAGTATTATATTTTACACTGGCGATGGTAGTGTTTGCCTCATTGTCTTAAACATTTTAAGGCACGAAGCCATTGGTTGCTTGTTCGATTGTATTACAGTCTCTTGAAGAGCACAGCGAATTGAAGGCGAAGGGCGACGAATTGGACCGAGTCGTAAAAAAGGCAGAGGAAGAATTGAGGGCGCTTGAGAACACTGTTCTTGTTATGAATTCGCTGAATGAATCTGCTCGCAGTTACAACGGAACTGTAAGTTGTAAGTTGAGTAAGCACTAGGCCACACAAGTAAAAGCAGGACGAAGTGGTGTAACTGAAACCGTCTCTGCTTCACTGACAGACTTTTCATCGATTGCTAAAGGTATCATCAGATGACCTTAGAAAAATTAACCTGAAACAAAACCATAACGAGACAGGTGTTCATAGCCATTCATTATGTGATATGGCGCGCTAATGTAACGGCGAAATGGCAGTTATTCTCTTCACTTCCATTTTGCTGGAAAAGTTGTACAGGGAAAGGTCTTGCTGCCTCGGAGAGGGCGTCAGTAGAGAATGTCTGGATAATGGTGAAGGGATGTCTTTATCGAGTCCATATATTTCAAAGAGCGCTTTAATGCAGAACCCAAATCTGCACCTGCGAAAATGGATAAATAAAGTTAATTTCTTTAATCAATTTAGTAAATGAGGCATAATTTAAGGAAGACGTTCAAACATTCCCCCAAGTGTTTTTAACTACATTTAGTCGCTTGATTCGGGTGAAATGAAGAACAAAATGGTTCTGAGTGAGAAACTAGACGCACTATCAGTCAAAATGAAGGTTTCACGTGAGAAACGACGCGTCCTTCGAGCTTCTGTTCTTGTAAGTCATTGATTTTCGGAAAATGCTTTGACATGAACTCAAAACTTATCATTCACGGGATTTCCGTGCATTTACCATTAATGCACCAATTTCAACTGGCGGAAAGAAGACGTTACGGGTTAATTTCACGCATTTCTCTTGCTCCAGTCTTTCGGTAACGAAAATTGCCAGTAGTTATATAAGTAAGGATTTTAACACCTGGTTGTTTAATTAGTTGAATATCACTTACACTCCAAGGATTATGCTTAATCACTTCGTGCGATTAAAGGGAAAATATTTTTTTTCTAATTAAGCGTTTCACGGTGGAGATAAGTTCACTGGATGAGGAAATTGTTCAACTAGAAAAGACTGTGGCCTCACACGAAGCGGACGTTTTTCGAATTAAAGGAAAGAACGAAGAACTCGACTCTAAATTGGAAAGGGCATTGAAAGTGCAGACGCTTGCAAAGACAAAAGCAGCTCGCGTAAAACAGCACGTAGATTTGGACATTGAGGTTGGTGACCGTTCTGTCGGCAAGTATTGATCATAGGCTGGTCCTCTTACGCATAACAATCAAAATTAGTTCCCTCTGGTAAATACGCACAAGATCGTGTACTTAGTGGGTTTGCTTCCAATAACAGTGCTACTCCACAACCTCCAGCGTCTGGTCATAAAGGCAAAAGATCTTAGCTCTAATCTCTGAAACTGCCGGCGGACTAGGAATTTTGAGTCCTGCGTTGATATCAAGGTATCGAAATACAACTCACGAAAACCATAATTCCGGTCACTTAAGGTTTTCTGATCGATAGTTTGGAGATTATAAACTTGGGGGACTACGCGCCCATAATTTTCATTCGCAGGTGGTCTTTTTGCAGCAAAATAGTACACAAGTGCTCAGAGAATATTATGACAATAGACTCAACCGTTCATTGCTCCGATACGACCGTACACAGAAATTCTGTTTGGTCACCGTATTTACAGGTGTGTCTCCACGATAGTTCTCAGCGTAATTCTTGGGGTATAGTTGGGAAGGTGCATGCTGAGATGGATGGGAATTAAACAGAGAGGAAACAGGTGATGGGTTAGGTGTCTTGGCAGGGAAAGAAAGGATAAAGAACCACCGAGCCTCGTCGTGTGTGAAACGGCAAGACTCACGACAGTCCTACGCACAATTTCACTGGGTCCAGTCAGGCTGGATCATAATTGGATGTTTCTTTTGCCCATCAGGTCCAACTTTTATGCGACTTCAATGAATCCGTCAACCTTCTGCTCGTGAGGAGTATTAGGGCCTCTCCTTTCACCAACGACCAAATACTCAACAAGGCTCATGAGCTCTCAAAGAGCTACCAACTAACAACACCCATCCTGATAGGAAGTGCAGACAACACGAAGGCCTCAGACAGGGCTTTAGATAGAAACATCAACGTGAACGCTTCAAGTGAGCTGTGGCTCTCTCGCTCTTCCTCACACACGGCCATTTAAAGTAACAACTATTTACTATTTTAAGGGCCTGGCCCTGTGAATCGCGTGCCAGCGAAGGCCTTGCAACTGGACGCAGACGGCATGTTCGGGGCGATCCGATCTCAAGCCATAGCGGTGGAGAAGACTGCTAGTCGGTTAGTAGGCAGTAGAGGAGGCACGAATCAATCACTGAAATCGGGGGTGGCCAAGCCTCAAAAAGTTGACTTACGCAGTCCAAGCGTGGCGTCATCAACCACAATTTCCATTCACAGCATCCGATAAGGTTTTGTACTGTATGGCCACATGTGCTGTACAAAACAGATGTTTTGTGCGTTGAACGACGAAGCAAGGGCATTGAAAAGTTCTGGATTAATCTAACCAGCAAATTCACAAAAAGAAAAGGAATAGTATTATTCTGTTCTTTGGTAATTGGCTGGGATTAATGGGCTTCAAGGCCGTGATTCGGAAACTGACAAGCTAACGACATTAGCGCCACATCATGTGATCAAAGTGGAAGTCGCTTGTTAGCGGGACACCACAACTCTACGTTCAGCATTTATTTATTGCAATTTTAATATGTACAGTTTTGGGAAAGCACCGGAATCAAAAAAAATGTGTTGGCTTTCTATGATAATAATGAATATGGATTGAGTGATAAAAGAATCACAATTAAATGCATGTAGAAGCCAGAAATCACAGGCGGATTGGAGCAGGGCGGTGACGCCTCCTCAAGGAGCTAGTGAACCACAGCGTCGAAGTAGGAATGGTTGAGGGCCTGGTCTGCACTCGCTCGTTCAGACGGGTTGCATATAAGAAGTTGCTGAAAAGAATTAAGGCATATCAGACGGAAAAACGATTTGTCACCTTTATTAACAACTACAACGATAGAAATGTTTGCTTATGTTTTGTTAAAAAAATCAGGCCTATAGAAAGTAGACAAGATCAGCCGAAAAAAATCGAAAGATGTTGTCGAGTCAGCCATCCTAAAAGTAGTATTTCTAAAAAGTATAGACTGTTTATTCATTTCCAACTTTCACGACAGGCAGATCAGAATGTTTCCAATTGATTTTACTGAATCAAGGTTGCCTGGGTAGAAAGATTTCTGCTACACACAGGTAGAAAATGAGTTTACATATACGCTTACATTGACGGCAATTATTACATATGTATATGTAAACGGCAGGCAAAACCGAACCAGAGCGAATAGAAAGTGGGAAAATACATCGTTGTGGGCATGTGCACTTTTGTTTCCAACTGGTGGGATCGAAGACTCGCTGTTAAGTTAATGCTGAGTTGGCCTTTACAAACGCACATACCTGTAGGAGGTCGCGACCACGAACGGAAAGATTGGGAACGACTTGGTGCCAGTGGGTATTTTTTGGGTAGACTGTGAACGCCTAGGTACGAAAGGATATGTTTTAAAGTGATTTTGCAAAACGAAATGCGAAAAACCCCTTTTTAAAGTCCTACCACACAAACATTTGTTAGCGAAAATTTTGTCATCAAATCGTCTCACCAGTTTCGTTGACAATCGAAAACTTGCCTTGTAATCGGGAAGCTCGGTGACACCTGGCCAAGTCGACTCAGTTGGAGTGCCAAGTAGTCTAAAAAGGAGTAGTGTCGACGTAAGTGGCCTGACTTGTCGCATTCACATCATGGCGTTTGCATGCTGCTGCAGAGCATGCCCCTTCAGCGTTTCAGGCAACCGAGACCATTTTGTTTGATCCCATGCGAACTCGCCGATATCCACCCACCACAAACCTATGAATGATATCCTGTCCAGTCTCGAACTAGAACCATTAAGACTGCAAAGATAGGTGTGAAGAAAAGCATGACGCCAAATGATGGAGGACAGTTTTTTAAAGGGGATTACGACATCCGACACCGGGTGAGAAGTGAAATGATTTGGCGATTACGAATAATTTGTACGCCATTAAAATTCGACACAAAACAGTGCCCAAAGCAGGTACACACATCTCGGGTGTCAAAAGCTGAGAATTAAACTACAATTCTGACACTAAGAGGTTCAAAGTCTAATGATAGTGCTCATCGACGAAAAACTTCCGCGTACACCTCGGAGAGGTGACCGACACAAGACAAGCATAAAACTTCTCACTACAGGGTTGACTCAGGAGAAGATAAGTTCTCTCTCAGCCTGATGAAAACGGATTGCTCAAAACAGCCGGACAAATTGTACCTTCGACGTTTGTGAGAAAACCAAGTCCACTATTAAATGCCCGACGTGTCGAATGTAAATACTAAAAAAATTGAATACAGAGCTGCTTATCGACTGATTTGGCCCACCGACAATACGTACAAAAGCCAGTAACAGGGCTGGCTGGTTAAAACGCTGAGAGGGAAAATGAAAGACCTGCTTTTCCAATCCCACGAGCATCCTACAACGCGATTGGCGCCGGAAATGCAATAATTTAAAATCTAGACGGTGCGCATAACACAGGTGTTAGATAACGTTCAAAACAATTTCTATGAGAAATACGTGCGAGAAGTCTTCATGTCTCCGATCCCAGAGTTCAGAGGATTGTTCGAGGTTTTACGTCATTCAGAAGACGATTTAGAGGAAGTTCAAAAAGAGAAAGGCCGCAAACAAGGAAAACTCGAATTATTTTGCCAAATACGCATTTCAAACTAGCTAGGACCATACAACGGGAAGGTCTACTTAGCATCATGTTGGCGGTCATCCAAAGACGCAAGAAGATGGGCCTCAAGTGGTTTTTTTTTTCAGACGAATTTTTCGATTAATTTACACACACTAATCAACCTACAAAATAGAGCATTTTAACGACCACTCGCGGGGTAGGAGAACATTATGATTAAAACACCTACAAATAAATGCACAAGAAAACACTACGTTGAAGGAACTCACTTAAAGATTCGCCTAAGTTGATCGTCCACATCGAAGCCCGGGAAGAGTGGTCTACCAGCATTTGAAAGCTCAGCGAATATACAACCAGCAGACCACATGTCGATTGATGTGGTGTACAGTTTTGCACCAAAGAGCACATCTGGCGGCCTATACCACAAGGTCACCACCTATAGAATATACGAGACTCCAACTGTGAACCTAAATCGAGGGGTTAAGATTCTAAAGAACTTTCATATTTGGTGAAACTAAAGTAGTCTAAATGCATGAAGGGTATTGCTAATCAAAGAACAGACCACCTACTTCAGCGGAGTATTGTCGAACCGGAATACCGTAGGCCCTCGCCAATCCGAAATCCGCTAACTTTAATTCTCCATTTGAATTGATGAGCAGGTTTTGTGGCTTTAAGTCCCGATGAAGAACGTGATTAGCATGACAAAACTGAAGTCCGCGTAGTAACTGATACATAAACAGCTAGTAGAAAAAAAAACAAAGGCAAGTGATGGGGGTGTTAGTACTAGCATTTCCCGCAAATTCAATGCTGTTTTACGACTAGGTGGTCGCTAGGTGAAATGAATAGTTCTTAAATAACATAAAATCAACAGCTAGCTTACCAGTGAGAACCAACTAATCTGATGTTTAAATTAGTACTTCAATATTTCAACCGAAAATTGCGCGGTATAACTTTATTAACTTTACCGTCAGCAGTTAGTCACAAAACTAATTAAACTCATGAAACAGAAGAACATTAATATCATATGGAAAGAACGCACTTTAACAGTGGCTGGATCAATTTCACCATTGCAGGCATCAAAATACTTTTTGAGGTCTTGATCACAGTGTTCAAATACAATTGTGAGTCGTGAGTCGCTAATCAGCACGTCGTACAACCTAGATCAAAAAGGAAGGTTGAAGGCTACTCCCAGGGACAATGCGATCACAACGCCTCAAGAAACTGAAGTATAGAAATCTGACTTCGATATTTCCCAGAGGATGCTCAGTAGTGAACACATATTCCAGGGATCGAATTAAAGGAGCCTACGTGACAAGAACATTGACCAAAACGGATCACAATTACCTACCATGTAGGATATTTTTAGAAAACAAACTACACAATCACTAATCATTGACACCAGGATATCGTTCATCACAAATACATACCTATTTATCTACGCTACAAATTGACGCAAAATAAATGACAAAAAGGGTTACTATTGGCATAGCCCTCTTTCC